AAAAAAAAAAGACAACAATGATACTTACTGAAAAAAATGAGGAATGTAATATTCCAACATAGCAAATCCCAAACTGACAAACCAAAAAAAAACTTTAGCCAGGAATGTGGCACACATCCATAATGTCAAAACTGAGGAAGCTGAGGCATAAGGATTGTTGACTTCAAGGGCAATGTAGGCTACATTGTGCATCCTGTCTTGGAAAGACAGGACACAAAAAAAGGAAGGAAAAAAAGAAAAAAGGGACACTCTTACTATTCAAAATATGTCTCCATTTACTTAACCTATATGCAATAGTTGTCTATGTGCATCAAATGGAGAACATTGCCTAAAATGTTAATATAGTTATTCATGAAAATGATGGCAAATCTGATTGATTTCTGACACTTTTGAATTATTCGAAACTACCAACACATACAACAAATATTTCAAGAAACAACAGGACCAAAAATAAAAAATGAAAAGAGACAACAGGGCATTTAAAGACTAGATGAGGGAACTTCAATTTAGGTATTCCAAAAGCTAAATGTATTCTTTACCTTGACTTTGTACTTCAGCCCAGTCCAACGGAACTGGAGGTTTCCTTTTCCGCCATAGTTTATCCATTGTCAATAGATACCTGATGTCATCTTTAAAAAGCTTGAAAAAAAAAAAAAAAAAAACAGAAAGAAAATTCTATGAACTCCATAGGCCCCAACCTCAGAATTATATAGGACATTTCACTGCTGGTTTATTATAAATATTATTCTGTAAAATCGTATTTAAAGACATAGTTCAAAAAACTAAAATAAAAAAATAATAAAAGACATAGTTCACATTTTCAAAACCCATAAAGTTGAATCATTTTATAAAAAAATTTTACTCAGAATCCCCACATAGGCCTGGCCTGATAACTCAGCAGACTAAAGTGTCTGCTTAGGCAGAGTGCAGAAGCCTGGGTTAGATCCCCAGTGGGCCAGGATTCAATCCTCAGTGTGCCTGGGCCTGGGCCTGGGCCTGGGCCTGGGCCTGGGCCTGGGCCTGGGCCGGCACCAGCCCTGGCCCAGGGCACACTGAGATGGTGACTGAGACTAGGTGCGGTGGCACCCACATGTAATTCCAGAGCTTGCAAGGCTATAAACAGGAGGATCTCTGAGTCCCATCTACGCAGTGAGACCCTATAGACCCTGTCCTAAAATGCACACACACAAAAAAAATCCAAATATAAAAACACAAACACTAGCTGGATGGCCCACGCCTGTAATCTCAGCACTCCCAAGGCTGAGGAAAGAGGATCACTGCAAGTTGGAGACCAGCCTGGGCTACAAAGTGAGCTCAAGGCCAGTTTGAACTGTATAGGCAAGACCCTGTCTCAAAAAGACCAAAGGACAGGGGTCGGGGAGACGGCTCAGTGGAATAAGTGCTTCCCTGGCAAGCACAAGGGCCTGAGTTCAATGGCGAGGGGGGGGGGCGCCGCAGGGCGGTGGAGGGACACCAAATGAGAAGGGGGGGGGACCAACAAACCAAACCACTAAATCTACTGAAAAACTATAGAAATCTTGAAGACAAAGGGGTAGGCAGAATTCATGAAGAAAAACTAAACTGCATGAAAATTTGAAAATTCAAACAATGAACAAATGAGATCTCATTAAAGTTTTTGCACATCAAAAGAAATGGGGGGGAATGACTCAGTAGAATAAGGGCCTGAGGTCAATCCCTAGTTCCACCAAAAAAAAAAAAAAAAAAGAGAAAAGAGAAGAGGAGAGGAGATCACGGAGGGCCAGTCAAATAGCTCAGCAGACTAAAGTGCCAAGCAGGCAGGGTCCGGATCTGCCAGCCTGCTGTGCCAGTGCTGGCAGTCCCGTCCTGAGGCACGCTGAGACAATTGAGACTGGGCGTTGTAGCATGAGCCTGTAATCCCAGCTCTTGGGAGGCCATAAACAGGTAGATCCTTACAAGTCTGATATAGTAGTGAGACCCTAAGCACCCTGTAGACCCTTCCCTAAAAAAAAAAAATGCAAAATATATAGAACATAAAAAAATTTTTAAAAGAAGAAATCAGCCTCCAGAGGCCCTGATATGGCTCAGGGGAATAAGCGCTTCCCTGGCAAGTGCAAGGGCCTGAGTTCAATCCCACGTTCCACCAGAAATCAGCCTCCACCCTAAATTCAAAGACCCAATCCAAAAATGGTCATCTGAGATGAGTACACACTTGTCAGAGGAAGAAATACAAACGACAAATTTATCAAAAACTGGTATCACTGGTCATTTGAGAAATGCAAATTAAAACAACGAGATGCCATCTTACTCCAGAAAGAATGGCTATTACCAAAAAAATCAACTAACAGGGTCAGAGAGACAGCCCAGCAACATAAGCGCTGGCCTGGTGAGCCCCCTAAGGTCCCAAGTTCAATCCCTGGTACTCCCTCCACCTCAACAACAACAAAAGAACCAGCCAAAAACAAATGCTGACAGGGATGCAGAGGGAAAAGGAACTCTTTTCCACTACTGGTGGGAGACTGGTGAAACCACTGTGAAAATCATCATGCAGATTCCTTAAAAAAACTAGGATAATAAGAGGTATCTATGATCCATATTCCCCTTCTGGGTACTCTCCCAGAATTTAAAACATCATTCCATACTGATATACATACACCCATGTTTACAGCAGCACAATTTGTCACAGCTAGATTTTAGAAAAAACTTTAAATGCCCACCAAGTGCAGAATAGAAAAAAAGGTGTATTTTTATACAATAAAATAGTACTCAGCTATGAAGATGAATGAGGCATTTATAGATAAAATGGAAGCAACTAGAGATCATACTCATAAGTGAAATAAATCACTTGCATATGTAAACAAAATGAAAATAAGATGGAAAAGGTACAAAACAGATTCTGTGAAGGGGAAAGCAACTACTTAAAAGAACTAGGGTAAAGGAGAAAAGAAGAAAAGTAAATACACATGCAACCTGCATACAATAGCTAAGATAATTGTATTACTAATTTCTATTAGTTCATTCGAAAGAACAGTTAGTGCTTACACTGTTTGCTCAATTTTTCATGCCTGGGCCAGGGATATAGCTCAGTGACAGAATCCCCGCTTGGCAAGTGCAAGGTCCTGAGTTTGACTTCCAGCATCGAAAAGAAACAAAACAAAATTTACAGGCCTATGTCTGGTTATCTGAACAACTATTTTGAAGACACTATGCAATATAACAACCATTGTTAATTTCCTATTATCTTATTTTGAAATTCTGTATTGTTGTATTTGTATAATGTTTAAAATAAAATTAAAAATTAAAGCACACAAACAGATATGCCATCAACTACAAGAATAGAATACAATTACTGAGCACAGAGATACCACTGATATTATCTCCACGTTTGTGGGTGTGTATCAGTAGAGCATATTCATTCTACAAGAGCTCAACAGAAATTAGTATTTTATTTTATTCTTTTTGCAGTACCAGAGATTGAACTCGGAACCTTGTACTCGCCAGACAAGCACGTGAGCTGTATGGTAGGCCCAGAAATGCTTAATTAACGGTAACATTCAAAATTAGATCCCAGGGCCGGGGAGATGGCTCAGTAGAATAAGCGCTTCCTGGCAAGCGCAAGGGCCTGAGTTCAATCCCTGGTTCTGAAAAAAAACAAAACGAAACAAAAAACAAAATTAGATCCCAGGGGCTGAGAATTTGGCTCAGCAGAAGAATGCTTGCCTAGCAAGATCGAAGCCCTGGTTCAGTCCTCGGCATCAAAACCAAAGTATCTGTGATCCCAATACCCTCCCTTATACTCTGGTTTCTCTTCAGATCATATAAATCTTTCGCCTTTTACCAATACCCTCCCTTTCCATACACATGAAGCTTTTAAAACATACACACACACACACACACACACACACACACACACACAGTCAAATTATTTTAAAAACATTATCATACACAGACTAAGAAACCATCACATAACAATGTGGTGGGATTTTAGGTGACTTTAATATCTTTTTTTTTCTTTCCGGAACCGGGGATTGAATTCATGCCCTTGCACTTGCCAGGGAACTGATTATTCCACTGAGCCATCTCCCCCACCCGACTTTAATACCTTTACTTCTTCCTTATCTGCATGTTCTATTATTAATTTATTTTCTTTTCATTTTTTGGTGGAACTAGGGATTGTACTCAGGCCCTGTGCTTGCCAGGGAAGTGCTTATTCAACTAAGCCATCTCCCTGACCCTCTATTATTAATGTTTTCAACACATTTGCACCAAGTAAATGTACATCTGGTTAATTTGGTCTTTTAAGACAGGGTCTTACCAAGAACAACTATCCACTTGAACAATTACAAGTGTAATTCTTACTACTTAAGAATGTACGAGGGGCTGGGGAGTTAACTCAGTAGAATAAGCCCTGGCAAGTGCAAGGGCCTGAGTTCAATCCCCAGTTCCGCATTAAAAAAAAAAAAAAGAAT